GGACGGAATTGAAGGCGGTGGATTTGTCAAGAAAAGCACATGCGGAATCGCGGCAACTCTTGTGTAATTCTCTTAGGGCAGAGTGGCCCACAAGATCAACAGCATCTAAGGTACTACGCAAATTGTAAATGGTCGGGAAAACTGGACAAAACTGACTATAATATCTAGAGCAACTCGTTCAGCAAGTTTTAATACTGCTCAAGTGCAGGCAATTGGACGCAAAGATTTAGGACAAAAATTGTATACCGGATCTCTAATAGTCATGGTCGTAGCGACTCCATCAGGAAACCGGAAGATAACTCCGGACGCAGGCGACTGAACACGCAGAAGCAGCAGCAGTAGGGGGATTGAACGAGGACAACTCCCGAGTTGCAGCTCACGTAACGGAATCCGACCACGCCCTCAAATTGGACGGCTAGAATCTTCGTCATAGATGTGACTGGTGGACTACCTGTATCAAAATTAATCAGCCCAGTGTTTTTTTCAGTCAGCGTAATGAAATTCCTCTTCCTATTCAGTGTTAAACCTTTGTCTGAGCGAGATAGTTAGTCTCGCGAAGGACCCTCGGACAAACACTGATTCCACTGACTGAAATCTTGAGGAACCTGACTCTGAACAGGAGACTTGTTGACATGACATGTCTGATTCCCACTTAAACTCATCATTAAAGACAGTCGCAGATAAAAGTATAAGTGTCGTAAAGCACTTTCTGTGCCTCCATCACTTGTATTTGCGACTATCTCTGATTCGAGTTAGAATCCAGAACTTCGGACCGGCAATCCTCTTGTTTCAGCAGTCGTATCTTCTTCGGATCCGGTTCCTGGAACTCACATCTTTGTTTCTCTCGGCATCTGCTCCAGTCATCATCCAACCCAATGCAAAGAGCAATTGCGACAATTGTAAGCTCGGCGGCGGTTGCATCAAACATGACCACCTATGGTGATCGCGGCAAATACCAATTTTAGTAGGTACCTAGATGCGCAGTCAGCGCACCCCAGAAATGCCGATTGCACCACCCCCAGCGTCCGACACCTCCGTCTGTTTCTGCCTCTGATGGAAGGGGACTGTAAATCTCGAGTGTCGGACGAATAGAAATCTAAATTTAGCAACTACTTGCCTTCTTCTCCAGCGAATCTTAATTTAGATTGGTAGGGGAGAAAAAATGATTTTGTTTCTGACTTAGCCTTCCATGTTCTGGACCGCAACCACAAAACACCCAGTCTCCTCCATTACTGGCAATTTCCTCTACATATTAGATCAGCTATTTTGACCATGTTGACCTGTTTACTGGAAATACCGCGACTTTTGCGTGTACGAAGGAGGTCAGATGCGCCAAGACGGGAAATTTTCCCAGCCTACATTCCTCTCTTTGCGCTTCTTCAGTCCAAAGAATGTTGTCCTACAATTCGAAGCGTGGGCATATCTGCGCAGCCCAAGGAAACATTGTCTGATTTGCGAAATGAACACAGGAATCGTCTCGGCTTTAAAAGCGAATGTCTTTGTCCGCGGGTCTGCTCTTTAGCCTTGTATACCACGATTGGTTTTCGGAATGGTACTGGGAAACACAGTCTCGGATCGCGGATCGTGCAGAATGACCAGCCACAGATGTACACTATTTTGTAAATATTCCAACTGCCGACTTCAATTAAGTATATTTTATTTCATCCATGGGGGAGTGGTTTAGTTTTTGTCGCTTCGTCTAGTCTCCACAAACATGTGCGTTCATATCGATCATTGAAGAGTTTGCAGGTCTCCGGGTGGATACCAATCAACACGCTTTCAAACTGTTGCATACATTTTTTTTCTGTCGTGTCTTTAATCAGTTATTTCAAGACGGCCGCAGTACATTGGCCTTGCAGCCATCCCACCTACTTGAACTTGGATGCAAGTGTTTCCACAGAGTCGCATATGCCCATAGGCTAATCGGACGCGCTAACGCTCGGCGAATGTAACACAACAGTTTTACCGCCATTCCTGACGATGTCCACCGTCTGCTCCACACTGCAGTGCGAACAGGCATGATGATCTGTGCGGCAGTTAGTTAATAGTGAGGGTAGACTGCGTAGTGTCCACCGCACTCCGTCAATCTCCCCTCTTGGGTCTGGTGTTTAGATTTAGTCAAGAATACCGGAGGTGAGACAGGTTCAGGTGGCTGGCCCGACCGGACCCGCATCTAGACGTACCACTACATCCCCTGTTCAACAAGAAAGATTTGACCAGGGTTTTAACTAACGCAGCAATAGGGGAAGCAGCGATCCCAGTGTCTGCGACGCAAGCCGGCAAAATGACCAACCCCCGGACCCCAAATGTTGACATTTTTTATGGGTTTGCTGTTCCCACAACCTCGTGAACTGTCAACCAAAACTTCGAAATGCCTTTTTGGTTCGAAAAGAATAATTAAGTATGGTTGTAAAACTAGTCATCATGCAGCATAATTCTATAATAAATCAGTTACCTGGGGATACCAGCTTTCAAATGAACTTCTTTCCGGGTGCATGCAAAAACTATAAACATGAACTTTTTTCAATGATTTTCGATGCGCTTGATAATTCAATTATATTTCATGGAATACACGCATAAAAATAGATAGATAAGGTGATACCGACAAAGACAAGGGAGACGAAATGGCCATTTCTGGCTTATTAGCCGTCATCAGCCAGTCATACCCAACCCCAAGTGTGGATCACTTGAGATTCGAACCCGGGATCTTTGGTCATGGAGTTTGACGCTCTACAATTGAGCCACGGGCCGTTGTCCTGTCGGTTGTGATCGGAAATATCAATTATGACAGATGGGTGCTCACCGATCAGGTTACAGAACATACTCGTTCTGATGTGACTTTGGAGCTCATACTTTAACCCTCGCAGGCAGTCGCACGGGCCCGTGGCTCAATGGTAGAGCGTCAAAATCCATGACCAAAGATCCCTGGTTCCAATCTCAAGTGATCCACACTTGGGGTTGGGTATGACTGGCTGATGACGACTAATAAGTCAGAAATGGCCATTCCGGTCTCCCTTGTCTTTGTCGGTATCACCTTATCTACCTATATCACTAGTCGCTGTGCGACTGCCTGCGAGGGTTTAAGTATGAGCCCCAAAGGCACAACAGAACGGGTATGTTCTGTAACCTGATCGGTGAGCGCCCGTCTGTCATAACGCATAAAATGTTCATTATTTTGCTTATTTAGTATACAAATACGTCCTGTTTCTAGTTTGTACTCGAAGGAAGGTTATATTTGGGGTTTCAAAAACTTTCAAATTCTGGGATTTTTTAGTAACGTGATGTAGCCGTTCATAAAACATCATGCCTCTGTGCTTAACAATGTGGCTTTTAAAATTTGCAATATTGCTCAAATCCACTTCTACGTTTTATGAACTCCATGTAGTGTCCCACTAATGCCGTATGGTTTACCGTAGGCGGAAAATATACGGCTTGTAGATTGGAAACCCTGAATGCAAGTGTAACGGCAGGTCAGATTCAAAATTAATCTGGAAATGAAAAAGTTTTTAAAAAAATAATTTTGCACTTTTTCGAGTATAAAACAGGAATACTACGTATGTTTATACCGAATGAGTAAAGGAATGAATATTTTTATGCATGTATTCTCTGAAATATAATTAAATTATTAAGCGCATCGAAAATCATGGATATACAGTGCGTGACCTATCTCATGAAATGTTGGCTGAAATTCTGAAATGCGTTTATGATTAGGAAGGATTACTTGGTCGCGGTTGTGATACTGATTATCTTAAGGCATACCGTTATAACATTTTGGACTTGGCAGGATGTCGGCTTTTAAATGCACTTCTTTTCAATCTCCTGTAGAAAGCGTGCTCGGTAAAAAATGACTACTTACGTAGCATGCATTTTTCCCATTGATTTTCGATGGTCTTGGAAATTCATATATGTTTTATAGAAACCACAAACAAAAATATGCTTTCTTTTAGTCAATCAATAGAGAATCACGTCTTCTTTATATTTTATACTTAAGGAAGCAGTATAATTAGGGTTTAAAAAAGGTTTTTTAATTGCCGAAAAATTTGGAGCCTGATCATTCGTTTTATTAGCGCTAAGTGAGTTCCCTCTACAAGGTGCATGCGTTCCGCGTAACAAAAATCCCATATTTTTCTGTGTCATTAAAGAGATATCATACATGGTCCATAAAATTTTGCAATGGATGCGGACCATGTTTTACATTTCATGAGGAGCAGTGGTAAACGGCCAGGTACGATGCTATGTGAATGCACATATCGCGGTCTTAAAAAGTCTCATAATTAGAAACTTTTTCAAAACCTAATTATACTCCTTCCTTAAGTATAAAATATAAAGAAGACGTGATTCTCTATTGATTGACTAAAAGAAAGCATATTTTTGTTTGTGATTTCTATAAAATATATTTGAATTTCCAAGACCATCGAAAATCAATGGGAAAAATGCATGCTACGTAAGTAGTCATTTTTTACCGAGCACGCTTCCTACAGGAGATTGAAAAGGAGTGCATTTAAAAGCCGACATCCTGCCAAGTCCAGAATGTTATAACAGTATGCCTTAAGATAATTAATATCACAACCGCGACCAAGTAATCCTTCCTAATCATAAACGCATTTCAGAATTTCAGCCAACATTTCATGAGATAGGTCACGCACTGTAAATGCATGTTAAATACGTCGTCCTTTTTACCGTGTATGGGTTTTGCATGCAGCCGGAAAGGAGTTCAGTCGAAACCTGGCATTCTGAGATAACTGCATTTTTATAGAATTATGTGGCATGATTATTAGTTTTACAACCGTACCTAATTATTCTTTTCAAAACAAAAACGCCTATAGAAATTTCGGTTGACAATTCATGAGTTAGCTCACCTACTGTATGCGGCTCCCGTGTTGGGTCAGTGCCTCTACCGGGTGGCCCGTTGCGCAGGCACGCATAAGGCGTAGAAGGGTATTCAAAGCAGGTGACCAGGCCTTTGCGAATGACTGGCAGACCCGCAACTAAAAGCAGTTATGGAAATCCGCTCCTCTCTCAACTCGGACCTTGACTGCTCCGCCGCCGCCGAAGTGGTTTTCGACGACACTGTTCGACTTCTTGGTGAGCTGATGTCGCCAACCCCGCGTGGTGCGGCCGAGGATCGTACCGAGCTTCTGCACTGTCTTCGGCGACTCATGCGGACAATATCCCCGGCTCTGTCCGGTCCGTACTCTCCGAATCTTACCTCGAAAAACACTTGGCGGCTTGCTCTCACGTCCAACTCGGATGTGATCCAGGCCATCGGCCCCTAGAACCACCCTACGATGGCCCCTTCCTTCATGAGATGGAGACCTTCTGCGTCCGACGCGAATCTCGTGAGGAGGTCGTGAATTTGGATCGTTTTAAAGCTGCTGTTTCGTACACCCCTCCGGACACGCCTTGTAGTCCCCTACCCCCGCTACACCTCCCGTCCCGTATAATCCATCTTCCCCAATGTCCACTGGCCCCAGCTTCAACTACCCTCTCCTCGTCCTCCAACACCGGGAGCGCAATGCATGTTCACTTTCCACCTGTGCCACAAGTACAGTAGATGTGCTAACTCATTAAATGTCAACCAAAATTTCGAAATGCGTTCTCGTTTCGAATAGATAAAGTAAGTAGTGTTGTAAAACTAATCATGATGCAGCCTAAATCTATAATGATCCAGTTACCTCAAGGTGTCGGCTTTCGAAAGAACTTATTTTCGGTTGCAGAAAAGATCCATACTCTGCAAAAAATGACTACTTACGTAGCATGCAGTCTTCTCATTGACTTTCGATGCCCTTTAAAATTCAATTATATTTCATGAAAGACATGCATAACAATATTCATTCTGTTATTTATTCGGTAGAACATCACGTCTTCTTCCAATTCAATACTCAAAAGAAGAGTATAATTCAGTTTTAAAAAAACTTTTCGAATTCCCGAATAATTTTGAACCCGACCTACTGTTACACTTGCATTCAGGTTTTCAAAACTACAGACTGTATATTTTCCGTGCACGGAAAACCATGCATTTCTCTACGGTGTTAAGAGGAGACCATATGAGGTTCATAAAATTAAGCAGTGGATTTGAGCAATATTGTTAACTTTACAAGCCACATTCGTAAATGCAGAAACATGACGCTTCATGAACGGCCATTTAACGGTATTAAAAAATCTCACAATTAGAAACTTTTTAAAACCGAATAATACTCTTCTCGTGAGTATGAAATTGGAAGAAGACGTGATTTTCTACCTGATAATTAAAAGAATGAATATTTTTATCATGTCTTTCATGAAATATAATTGAATTTTAAAGGGCATCGAAAGTCAATGAGAAAATTGCATGCTACTTAAGTAGTCATTTTTTGCAGGGTAGAGATCTTGCATGCAGCCGAGCATAAATTCTTTCGAAAGCCATCACCCTGAGGTAACTGGATCATTATAGATTTTTGCCGTATCATGACTAGTTCTACAACACTACTTTATTTATCTTTTCGAAACGAGAACGCATTTCGAAATTTTGGTTGACATTTCATGAGTTAGCACATCTACTGTATATATCACCCGTGTGGATGCCCAGCCCACTTTTCTGACCGACTGATTACTCATTTTTGACGTGAACACTTCATTCGTCGTCGCTACATGTCGACTTCGGTCTAGTCAGGGGGTACTGTGGTAGTCCGCGCCTCCTTGGCCTCCGCCGCTGTGTCATGCTGCCCTCCTGTCTGCCCCACGCTACCTGTCGATATGCTGCTGGAAACGCACAAGACATGTGACTAGTCTTGCGAGTGCCCGAAGTCAATCAACGTTGCTCCTTCTCTGAGACAGAACGAAAGTTGCACCCTGGGGGCTAGAAACTTTAATGGCGGATACGGGCTAAACAACTTGCCTGGCGATGCATCTTGCTCCTATACCATCTTGGCAGAGTTAATTCACTAGGTTGTCAGTGGTCTAATGTGCGTGCCTGCCAAAACGTAATGGAGTACATGGCAAAACAACATTTGCCAACGTGGATATACTTCGAGTCAGCCCTGATGAACCAACCCTTGTTTTTAACGTAGGTATTACACAAGCTGGTACAATGGAAGTTCATTGCACAGTAGTCTACTTTGCAGGAAACGTCGCCTCTCTGAATATGATGTGCGAACAAATAGGATATGTTAACCGAAAATCATCTCTAAATTTTGCGTATGCAGTAAATGCAAAGGCACGAACATTTCCTTTTCTCTGATATCACTGCTTCCTACATTTTATACAGAAACAACGTTGTTCGTCCGCCGACTGTGGATGCTGTAACAACGTGCATTACTGTTTAACCGGTGATAGAACAAGTATCGATTACCAGGCACGCTTCGAATGGAAAGTCGCTAGACGGCAAACGCACTTCAAAGTTGATTTAGCATATCCTCATCTGTAGCTTCTCCGCAGATCGTCCTGTGGATCAATTTGTCGCCTGTTATAAAACTAAAACTCGTTCGTGGGTAGGCTACTGAACTGCAGATCATGGCACGAGTATGTATGTAGGGCCTTCCGAAAGGGTGTTAGAATAGTACCTTCTAATAATAGGACATTCGTAAATAAAAAAGCACATTTCCGCTGACAAAATGGGTTAGCTTTTGGCGCATTTCCAGACAAAAATATTACAATTCTAAGCAGACGCTGGTACTTTTCAGACCTCACGAAGCCCTTTCCAATCCGCGGCGAAATTTAGAAAAGGTCACAAAGTTTCATAAAAGTACACAACGCGTTTGGGTACAGTGTTTCCAAAAAATGTGCACTGTGTTAAAGCCTCTGCAGAGAACACCAATTTAATATTCTTAGAAACCAAGATATTTTGCGGTTTAATTTTTTGTGTTTTATTCCTTTAATATATATTGGTGAACAGAACTGATGCAGCCGATTCCCGATACTATTAATAGGACGTGCGAGTTATTTTAAGCATTTTGTTTAATATTCTTCTTTCATTTTTGAGGCCGGACATGAACGCATCTCCCTCCTGTTCTAATTTCGGGACAAGAAGTCACCTCCTCCGTCAAAAGGGCGATGGTGCGTACTGGCTAGCGGACTTGTCGTGGGCCGTTTCGGGTCTAGATTTCCCACAATAACCGCAGTGGCAGGCACGTCGACCTGCCGTTCACGCTCGTCCCCTACCCCCCGTCTATCCCGCATTACGCTCGCACTGCCAGTCGGTGTAAACCGAATTCCAGTCACGGGCACGTGCATTCACTACACGACGGGGCGGCTCGAACTTCCGAACCGCGTGAAACGAGAAAAACAGCGGCGACAGGCCATGACACACTACAGGGCTGTTTTTCACGGGGCTGTCGTATTATCTAAGTGTGGACGGCAAGGATAGGTTGTGCAAGCCCACTAGATTAATGTACACTTTTAACTGCTATGTGTGTTTCTGTACAGGAAAGTACTTGAGTTGTCCTTTGCTGTCGATCACAAAAGCCCTGATTTGTTAACTTCATCAAAAAGACTTGCTTAACCTTCTTGTGCCATGTCGGTACACACCGTACCAGCGGGCTGTAAGAATCGTCGGCTGTCTTTCGTTTTACTTGGTATCGGTTGGAACTCAAGCGCTCGGCTCCCTCAAATTTCCAAATGGTTTCTCTTTCCGAACGCGTACGCCGTGATTTATTTACTTCTCCAAGAATAGTTGTGCGTAACCCCTTGCCTAACTAGTAATAAGATCGCGAAATGCAGCCGTGTTTATTTACAAAAATGTATTTACAAGTCGTCGTTAAATTGTCTTAAGGAAGGAGTCCTTCATGTACCTTGGTAGGAAAGCCGTTACATTGGATGTGCTTTCGGATTATGCAACAGGAGCATTTCCCACGTCTACTTTATGTCAACGCTGTCTTAGCCAAATCACAGGCAATGTTGAACCCAGTCTACGTAAACCGATATTACACGATGCGACATCGACCCTCCTTCCTGGAGCTACCGTTTCAGTCTGCTCCAACAGACTTTAACCAATCTGGATGCATTATTTGACATCTACTGTTGTTCTTTCTTATTGGTTTTTCGTTATATTGGCCCCTGACCTGCTTCAAGTATGCAAATGGTGGTTTATTCAAGTGCGTTGCATTGCCTGTAACGCGCTCGATTCCGCTGTCATGCATAAGCGTAGGGGAAAAATTTCAATGAAAATCTTTTTATTTTCTGTGTTTTACCGCATACATTTCGCTCCCCCGTGCGTGCTATATAACTCAGTTAAGAAGTCTGAAACCGAAGAAGTTATTCGGCTACTTTCAGTTGTTAGCAATGTTAGTGTCCAATTCTACACGTACAGTGCCGTTATCGTCAAAGGCAATTGACAGAGCTGATCGAGTTGAGGTCGTCTGAAAAGGTCACCGGATTAATCTGATGAAAGGAGCAGAAAAGATCTCGAAACGGTAGGGATAGGTTGTGCGATCCCGCTGGGTTTTTGATGCATAGCTAAATCATATATATGTTTTAGTACACGAATGCATTTGAGTTTCCTTTTGTTGGCAGAATAGTATTACCGACAAAGACAAGGGAGACTGGAATGGCCATTTCTGGCTTATTAGCCGTCGTCAGCCAGCCATACCCAAGCCCGGAGTGTGGAACACCCGAGCCTCGAACTCGCGACCTGTTGGTTTAGAAGTCAACGCCTCTACTCACCGGGCCACGAGCCCGTTGCCTTGTCGGCTTTCGATCGGGAATATACAATGTTAGGGGGCGCTCACCGATCGTTCATACGGAACTCACTCGTTCCGTTGTGCCTTATGGACTCTCTCTCGAGCCCAACCAGCAGCCGCGCAGCGGCGCATGATATATAGGCAGAATAGTATTACCGACAAAGACAAGGGAGATTGGAATGGCCATTTCTGGCTTATTAGCCGTCGTCAGCCAGCCATACCGAAGCCCGAAGTGTGGAACACCCGAGCCTCGAACTCGCGACCTGTTGGTTTAGAAGTCAACGCCTCTACTCACCGGGCCACGAGCCCCTAACATTTCCTTTTGTTGTGGACTACATACACCGCGACATTTTTAATTTTTCAAAAAGACTAGCTTAACCTTTTCTGCTAACTCCGTACTCACCATACAACGCCTGCTGCAAGGGACGTTGGCTGCGCTTGGATTCCTTGAAATTTCAGACGGTTTCAGTTGCCGAACGCGTACAGGAAGGAGTCTTTCATGTACCTTGCTCGGAAACTCGTTGCACCGGATGTGCTTTCGGATCATGCAACAGAACCATTTCCCACGCTTGCTTTAGGTCAAAGCTGTCTAAACCAAAACACAGACAATATTGAACATT